AAAAAAAATTATAAGCATTATGAGATACAGTAACTATTAAGTAACTATGTTATGTATATTACTATAACATACTATATGTGAAAGTATAGAGAAAAAAAAATACTTATTCCTAAACGCTCAAGATGGCATACACATAAATTACTCTACATATAAGCTGAGCCACCAATAAACGGATATAGAAAACGTAACGAAATAAAGAAGCAGACGGTAGAAAAAAATCCGAACCGCAATTCTGTTCTTCCTTTAGAAAATTCGTCGATTCGGCTCACTAACGCGTCAAATATAGGTTGAACTACGGAAGTTGGTAAGGCTCGTCTTATTTCTATACATTGTGAAGGCCACGAGGGGCCATTGTTATTTGGCCATTGTCTTATACCGGGGTGTAAGTGAAAATAAGGGCAGTGTAGGGCACTAATTTTGTGACGTCACTCGACGCTCGTATCAGCGAAACCTGTGTATCATAGGAATGTTCGAAAGGTTTTTACAACTTTAATAAAACTATGATAGTAACTATAGATCGTAAACTAAGATATAGTTTCTCATCTTTTGTCCCAACCTATATTTATTTTTATATATTTATTTAACACTTTATTGCACCAATATTACAGGATTTGTAGAACAATTTTCAATAAGTGTAGTGTAGTACAAAAGGCGGTCTTATTGCTAAGCAATCTCTTCCAGACAACCTTTGGGTAGAAATAATTAAAGAATAAATTGGTAGGTGGCACGATAGATAGAGTGACTCAAGAGGAAGGTTTATGTGTGTAATATATGCATAATATAGTACAGAAACACTGATAATTTTAGAGGTTTCTAATGTGATGTGATGTAATGTGAACCCATGCGAAGCCGGGGCGGGTCGCTAGTTGAGTGTATACTAGCAAGGTTCACATGTATTTATAATGGATGATAATGAAATGGTAACCCCGCACAGGCTAACGCTGGCGGGACACCAGTGAGACCAGTGAGGGATGATAGGTGAGAATAAAAAAGCAGGTCAGTTAACCCATCGTGATGAATACATTCCGTATGTATTATCGTAGTATCCAGCACGATAGTTTCCAGGCGTGCCACGTGGAGGTCAACCCGACAAGGTATATTGCTAGCAATGGGACTGGTAGTCCGCATCACTAACAATACCTTCCCTCTAGGTTCACATGTATTCACGTGCATCACAGTGCATTTTGTGATATTAATGGTATTGTTCATGCCTATAGACGACGGTTACCACTTCCCATCAGCATCCACCAAAAAAAGCATGCCCCATAAAAAAGCGTACACTAACTCGAAACGAAGTCACTGAGTAGAAACTAATAAATTCAGCAAACGAGATTTTCTATCGGCGGCTGGCTGTAAAATATTCAGTTCTTTGATTCATCTGTACGCTTCAACCTTCTCATTGCATTGGTTTCACTGTAATATAGTTGGTATTCGTGTCTCGTCGGCGAATAATATCGTTATCATAAAAAGAAATCCTCAGTAGGGTGACCAATGACGTCCCACAGTTCCCCCGGTTCTATATTCGGAATTAATAAGGAAAATAGCTTTCACTTTGTTTTAGTTTATGTGCCTACATTGTTTTATAGAATAAGATTATTATATTATGGTGTATAAAGTGAATTTAAGGTTACTAGAGGAAAACTTTTTACAAAAGTCTACTAGTCTGCATCAATTTTCATGTATTTCGGTCGTGGTTTTGTTTTCATAATTGTTTCAGTTTGAAAGATAGAAGAAAATTATAGTGAAATTACAGTGTACGAAGTGGATACATTCACAGGTCGCTGATTCATATCCGGCTCGAAGGACCAAAATCTTTTGAATAGTCCAAGAAGAAAATTCTTTTATTTCCGTGGACATTTCTGAGAAAAAATTTAATTCAGAAATTTTATTAAATAAAGACCACGTATTACACAACTCTTAACGGAAATTCTTATTATTTTTTATTTTTAATATTATTCTTATAGGTGTATATACATATATTACGATATAATAAAGATATAGCATTTAAGTCCTCAGGAATGGCAACACATGGGAGGCACTACGGACAATACAGTTTGTTCTATATTATCCATCGTGCTGTTCATATCAATAGACAACGATTACTGCTTGGTTAGCTGTCAGTTAGTTTATCATTTAGGGTTGCATAAGAAATATTTAACTTTTTTATGTGCCACTAAAAATAATAAAACTCGTATCTAGTTTCAATTACTCTTCAAATTAGGTAATCCTATTGACATAATAAATGCTAAAGTTTGTAACAGTGGATGAATGGATAAACATTTGTTACTCTTTCACGCAAAAACTTTCTTGTTCGGATTGATACCTGCTGCTGATTTTCACCACCGTACAACCCGCCACAAACTAAAGTTTTATCTCAATCATCTGGACGAGTGGCGGTCTTCCACCGTGCATTATTCAAGGCACTTTCTTCCACGCACAACCATTCTTTGGAATCAACTTCCAGCAACAGTATTTCCGAACCGATACGACAACATAACCTTCAAGAAAAGAGTATATTCCTTTTTAAAAGGCCGGCAGAACACCTGCAATGCCGCTGGTGTTGTGGGTGATTATGGGCGGCGATAGTCACTTACCATCAGGTGAGCCGCAAGCTCATTTGCCCCCTGTGTTGTAAAAAAAAAGTGCTGGACGATGGACGCAGGTATAGCCGCAGGATAGTTAGTAAGAATCTATGTCTCACCTATTAACTACTGTACCAAGTAGTTGCTATCATACTATATTCTCATTTAACGTAATTTTATATATGCACAAGAATTTCGCAGATTTAAATATAACTATTGAAAATTTAACCTTTTATTAACTGTACTACTTAACAGTTGCTATTAAAAACTGGATATTAATAAAATATTTTTTCTATCAAGCCTAAATTCATATGAGATCTTAATATTTTTTTTTATACCACTGAAGTGGCAAACAAGCATGCGGCCCACCTGATGGCAAGTGGTTACCGTAGCCTATGAACACCTGCAATACCAGAGGTATTACGCGTGCGTTGCCGACCCTGAGGAAACCTCTTTACCCCCCTTTGGAAGAACCCCATGCTGTAGTCTCTTGGGAAAGCCTCGGCAAGGAGCTCATTCCACAACCTGAGTGTTCGTAGGAGTAAATATAAGTGAATTCATGTAAAAAAAAAATTAAAATCAGCGCTGAATTAGCAAAAATCTCGCGTAACATACACCAGAACAAAAGTACCCCTCTTCCAGCATTTGCATTCCCGGTTTGCATCGTTCGAGTATTTAATAGGCAATTATATACCTAAGGCTCTGAGAGCTCGACACTTTTTCCCGGCAACCTACCTTTAATACTAAAATTATGCAAGCCAAATAGGCACCCAGGGGAACTTTCCCCATAAAATCTTAAATAACGTCGGTTTAATCGTCGTATCAAATTATCTCATTTTTCGCGAGGCTAAAATGTTCCTTATGGAAATAAAGTGCCAGTTAGACCAGGAACTTTGATAGTACATTGGAAATTATTATAGGTTCCGGTCTTAAATAGATTGCTAAATTTGTGATCCGTAATTTAGCTATTAAATGATATTTAATGCTGCCAGTTAATTATATAGTTTCTAATCAGGTATACAGGGGGAAGCGATTGTTAGTAATAGGGAGGTTAGTCCCCATTGCTATCAATATCAATGTAACAATTAAGATGTATTTAGAATAATTATTTGGACATACGTAATTAATAAATTTTTACTTAACATGTGCTAAGACAAAATTTGCATGCCTTTAGATAAGGCGAAATGTGTAGCTCAGTTACCATTTAAGACCTTTGTACCACATGTCGAGCAAATAAATTATCTTCTTCTTATCTATTATATTATATATTATATCTTATTCTTATACCCTATTAGGTCGACCTCCACTCGGTTTCCCCTGTAAACCATTGTGACTAAGTTATTGTTGAATTCGTCATGATGGGCTAACTGACCTGCCTTTTCATTTTCACCTATCATCCATCACTGGTGCCCCGCCAGCATATACCATTAGCGCAAGCGAAGTTACCATTCTATTATCATCTATTAAAAAAAAGATAAGGTATACGAGATAATTTTTAGTTACAATAAATAGTTTTATAACAAAAATATCCTCATGTTATTTTGAAAACTCATATTCATTTTTTAACAGCGTCTATTTGTATATACATATATATATAACGGGAATATAATAACTTTAGTATGTTTGTTGTTTCCGACAACTGTTTCGACTTCATCCGGAAGCCAAGAATCACGGAAGCGTAAAATAAGCGCGAGGCGAGACGCAGTGGCGTAAAGCACCGTGCTTAACCTGAAGAAGACTTCCGGAATGCGTAAAAATATATTTTTAGCAACACGTACATAGATAAACAATAAAAGTACTTCTTAACTATCTATTTTTAAACGATTTCCAAAAAAATCTTGATTTTTGCTCGACTTAAAAAAATATTAGAACTAAAATATAAAACCTTATATCAAGGATAGATTTTGTTTGGGCTAAGCAGTTTTTTTTTTACTTTTAAAATGAAAACTTAATCGTCACAGATATAATATAAAACCAACACGTGGATAAAAATATAAAACCTTAACTTTATAAAATTGACAGAGTTATTGCGTAACATGACTAATAATTAATTAAATTATAACCTAACTGATAGTTTAAGATTATGTACATTAAAACTGACTTCAGTTATAGCAGACTACGGTAACCGCTTACCATCAGGTGGGCCGTATGCTTGTTTGCCACCTCAGTGGTATAAAAAAAGCATAATTATTTTAATTTTAAAACTAAAGTACGATAAAAAAGTAAAGTACTGGATCGATAATTATAAAATTTCTCTGGAACCAATTTGAAAATATATTATTATAGATAAAAAAAATAATTTTCCAAAAACTAAATACAACCGAATTAGGAACCTCTTATTTTTTGAAGTCGGTTAAAAATAAGATAAATTGAGAAACTCATTCTTCTGAAGATCGTTAAAAAATGCATAGAACTTACCTGTAGTCTTATTGTGGCAGCTCTATACGCCCTATCAGCTGTGTTCTGGGCTTGGCATGTGATCGTTTGATTATGGTGATGTCGCCGTGGACGAAAATGAAGGACGGACCTGGGAAAACGATTATCATTATACAGGATGGTAACATTTTGATCTACTGAGTTAAATCAATATGTTTTTTGTATCCTTGCAAAAAAATGAAAAACATCTTTACCAAAGAGACATGAATCGATCATTAAAACATTGTCTCATTTAGATACGAGCTTACGGCTGGACGTATCGTGTTAATATTTATTACTTTTTCTTGTATAATTAAGATTGTGTTCCACAAAATAACCGACATCAGTTCTGACAAAACCAGTTATAGTGATTTAAAAACTAAACCACTAAACCAATTTTTATCCTCGGCATAGAATGGCCTTTCTTTCCCATGGGTGTCGTGAGAGGCGACTAAAGAAGGGCGAGGAATGGGCAGCAGCGTCACTTTTAAAACATCTCTTAAAGGCTAACTGTGGTTGCCAATCCGCCTATCAAGCGTGGCAACTACTGATACAAAACTTTATGGGGAAAGCCTATGTCCAGCAGTGGACAGTTAACGGTTGAAATAATAATTAGTTATAACAGGCAAATATTTGTCAGAATATCATAATCTTTGTAAGGATCTATAACTTTTTTAAAAATAATATGTATTAAAATATATTATAATTATTAATTGAAAATAAACTACGTTACTTGCTTATTATGTTGTAGCTTTCTATAGGTGAAAGTATGTTTAAAATCGGTTGAGTAATTTTTAACTTCATTACAAACATACCAAAAATGTAATCTAAACGAGTGGCGGTCCTCCACCGTGCGTTTTTCAAGGCACTTTTTTCCACGCACAACCACTCTTTGGAATCAACTTCCAGTAGCAATATTTCCGAACCAATACGACAACATAACCTTCAAGAAAAGAGTATATTTCTTTTTAAAAGGCCGGCAGCACGCTTGCAATGCCGTTGGTGTTGTGGGTGATCATGGGCAGCGGTAGTCATTAAAAAAAAATCTTTTCTCTTAATATGAGTAATATTAATACTGAACGAATATATAAAAAAGATAAACAAGAAAGATATATTAATATATTAAAAAGATTGATGAATGTGGAAGAAGCGAAAGAGGTTTGTTTGAATTGAAGCATTTGGCGTTCCATTGTTTCTACCTACCCTAATAGGAGACAGGCATGACAGATATATATATATATATATATATATATATATATATATATATATATATATATATATATATATATATATATATATATATATATAATAATAGAACTTACCTTGCAGTGTTCCTCCTGCCGTCAGACATCGGTTCTGTGGTGTAAGTAACACCCTGAGTCAAAACGCCACCTTCGTTGTCCACCCATGTGATCTAAGAAGAAAAAGGAAAAATACAGTATTATAAAACTTGTGCTTTCACGACATTTTTATTGATTTTTTCTATACTTCTGGGATTGGCAAGGAACCTAATGGTCCATTTTATGATAAATAATAACCGTAAAAGTAGATAACTGTTATCTATAGATATAAATTGCTGTGTGGTTCCACCATAGAATGGGCCACCCCTTCCTTTCCCATGGTGTCGTAAGAGGCGACTAAGGGAAATTATTAATCGAGGGATGGACAGCAGCATCCCTCTTAAAATATCACCGAAAACTAACTGCGGTTGCCAAGCGAGGCAACTACTGGCAAATCTAATTTTTTTAATATAATATAGAGCCTATGTAAATATAAATATGTGAAACAAATTTAAAATGGTTTGAATAATTTTCAACAGATAAACTACAATAGATAAACTATTATAAAAAAATTCATATACTAAAAATTAAATATTTTCTCTTAATAATATTACTAGTTTTACCGGCGACTTCATCGACTTTTTTTTTACATACAACTTAGAATGGTAAACAAGCTGACAGCCCACCTGATGGAAAGTGGTAACCGTCGCCTATAAACATGAGCAGTACCATATACATAACAGAGTATACTGTTTCGCCCATCATACCCCCCGTGCGTTGCCATTCCTGAGGACTCAGGTGTTATTCCTTCATACCCAGTAAATGCACGTCATATCCCACCTTTCAAACCGAAACACAGCCATGCAAACACAACTGCTTCACGGTTGAAACACGAATGGGACAGAGGTACCCATGCAATCGACTTTTGTACAAAGTCTCCCTCTGGTAAGAAACTGTACGACGTAACTGGAATATGTTACTATGTCCATTTCCGTACCATATAATATACATCTCTATACTAAATTTCATATTGATCAAGCCGTTAAAACACCAATTTGTAACAAACAAACTCATTTTTATATTTGTTAATAAGAATGGTACAAAGTTTTGTTTGCCATTTTAATTTGAATAAAAAAAAAGAACTTTGACATACCTCAGCAGCAGGCTTTCCCCCTACTGATACGCATTCCAAATTGACTTCTCTATCTTCTATTGCTTGTAGAATTGGACCTTGGAGGATCTTCGGTGGTTCAGGTGGCATTAGAACAATCAGCCTGGCGTATCTGGATCGAATTGCTTGTTCACCTGCAAACAAAATAGTTTAATTTAGAGAGAATTTAAAAATTTAATATAAAACAAATTCACTGTTTGACTATTTGATTGTACTCTTACTATTTCTAAACTACATAAGGGTTTCACTAAAATTAATATATTTTTTTATAGAAAATTTGTACGTACAAATTACAGCCATGCGAATCCAGGCCTATCAGGTATATACTCAGCTACATATCAGGTATGAAAAAAAATTTAAACAATTCTACTTCGATCCAATCCTTTTTTTTTAATAGATCATAATAGAATGGTAACCCTGCCTGTGATAACGGTATACGCTGGCGGGGCACATGTGAAGGATGATAGGTGAGAATAAACAGACAGGTTAGTTAGCCCATCGTGATGAATACACCTAGAATTCAGCACGATGGCTTTCAGGGAATACCATGTGGAGGTCGACCTGACAGGACATATTGATATATTGACAGGATATATAATAGCAATGGGACTCGTAGTCCATTGCTAGCAATATACGCATTAATAAAAATCCCTTCCTTCTCTATCCGATTTCTTAGGACTCAAACTTACTAACCGCTGTCACTTCTGGTTATCCGCTATAGATGGTTTCCAGGGGAAACCACGTGGATGTCGATCTGACAGAGTATATTGCTATCAATAGGACTGGTCGTCCACATTACGATCAATCCCTTCCTCCCAACTGTAGCTAGTAATAGCATAATTTGTTAACTCGTAACTTCGAATAATTTTGTATGGAGAATTTTAACATTTAGTAATATCCCAAATATCCATTTGCGAAATTGGATTGTCAACAATTATCAAAAGACAACAAAGTAACCTAATTCACTACCAGCAGTCTGTGAAAAGCGGAACATCCTGTGTAAACCATTAATTCTGCAATTGCAAACTATTAGAATAAATCAGAACAAGTTTGCGCTATAACTATACGTATAATATAATAGGGTTTAACGACTCCATTCACAAGTTTATGCGGGCACCCGGTACCGGAACTTTTGCGTGACCAAATGGGTTTTAGTTTGACTTTGTGCGGCGTTTTAATTGCATTTTTCAGTCTATTATTTCGCTTTGATAATTTTTTTTTGTAGTGGAATACAAAATTGGCCGACTGTTTTTTTTTTGTGCAACTTAGAATGGCAAACAAGCTGACGGCCTACCTGATGGAAAGTGGTAACCGTCGCCTATTAAGAGCAGAGCCATGGATATAACAGAGTATACTGTTTCGCCTATGATATCCCCATGCATTGCCATTCCTGAGGACTCAGGTATTATTCCTCTGTACCATGTAAATTCACTGCCATATCCCACCCTTCAAACCGAAACACAGCCATGCTAACACAACTGTTTCACGGTAGAAACACGAATGGGATATTTGTAAAGTATGCCGTATTAAAGACGCTCACTTTAGATTCCGCGGTATGGATAATCACGGTACTGATAAATCATTATTTTTATATTAACCAATTACTTTCCACTGCTGAACATAGGCCTTCCCTATAAGGGGAGATTTGCCAGTAGTTGCCACGCTTGACAGGCGGATTGGCAACCGCAGTTAGGCTTTAAGAGATGTTTTAAGATGGACGCTGCTGAAAAGAGGTTTAGTCAGTAGTTACCACGCTTGTTAAGTAGGTTGACGAACGCAGTTAAGCTTTTGATGATGTTTTAAGAAGGAACTTATTAAACCATTAAGTTCCCTTAATCGTCTAGCAGGCAGGTGGCCGGTCGTAAAACTAAAAATCAAATCTTTTTGTAATATGGATAAAATCATATTACGCCGACCCCAAATGATTGGGATAAGGGTAGGAAGATAATGATTATTAAAGATTTACTTCACTGCTCATTTAATTAGAATTATTTTGTTTAATTCCGCTATCATTAGTATGCGTGTGTATAATGATATGGTATGGTATATTATAAAAGTAGTGGAATTAAACAAATCAATTCTAATCAAATAACCAGTGATATGGACTTCCGCAAGATAACACCTAGTTCAGTAAAATACTTCATTTAATATATTAATAATTCACAGTACGAGTAGTACTCGTATATTATGTTCACGTACTGGCCACTAATAATTTTGTAAATACTGACAGACTTATTTGTTAAACAAAATAAAAAATAAAACAGTAGGCTTAGTTTCATATTTTATTTTATGATTTATTATTAATCTGGAGTGTTTTTATTTTTATTTTTAGTTATTATATTTGATGATGTTAAGTTCTTTTTATGTTAATAACTAGTCATGTTATAAACTTCTATACATAGATATCGAAATATTTGTTGTTCTTTAAAAAAAAAAGTAATACTTTTTTTTTCTTTATTTGTATAAGTCGTTAGTTTATTATTTTTTTCTTTCTAAGGAAAAGAGATGCAAATACTATGTTCACGTACTGGCCACTAATAAGTTTGTAAATACTGGCCGGTAATAATTTGTTCTATTTATTCTTTCAATGAATAAATTAGTGTTTAACCAACTCGCTAGCGTATCACTACAGTTATAATATAAGCAGGAACGGAAGTAGTGGAATTTAGAGTTTTATAGTCGAGGCAGTTAATAAATATTAATAGATAAGTGTGCTACAGTATCCTATATTATGAGAACGAGGGGTAATCCAGAGATATTCGTTGCCTGGTTTATAAATCAAGAGTGCCCACACTTGAACCAATTTATAAGTTCGTTTCTCAAAATTTACTCGACCTTTCTTACTGTGACAGTAACACGAGCGTTTACAGTTCTCGCTCAGCGGACCGAAGCGCGCAGTTAGGTTCCCGCCCACGTCACAGTCGCTCATGATTAAGGATCACGAATTGAGCCCAAAACTAGTCGAGCTTTCTCGATCTAATTACACGAAAATTTAGCCAGTAGTTATTACAATAAAATATAATGTGTGCTTACGAAACTTTTAACAATAAAATTTGCTCGATCTAGAATCGAAACCAGGACCTAATTTACGCAAACCAATGTAGCTATAGTTGTGCCTACCTACTTTTCACGTTATAAAGTCATCCATGAAGTATATAACAGTATTTAAACTGTGATAAAATGCACTAACTGCAGGCAAGCGCGAATAAACAAGCACATCGCCTGTGTCGCCGCTACGAAATGGTATAAACTTTCGTTGCTCCGCGCTGTTGTTTAAATTTACTTTAGTTCAGGAAGGGACAAGGCAAAGAAGATAACGGATAATTGGTAAATTATTATTTATATACCCGACATACATACATACAGTGTAATATGTTATACAGTTTTAAATATTGTTTTCACCAGTAAATAAGTTGCATGCTAAACCCAATATTTGAATGGTTTTTTTTGCACACAAGCAAACGGCCCGTCTATTGTAAACGGGGTTACCGTAATTAATGGACGCCTATAACACCAAGAATATCATGCATGCATTGCCGATTCTTAAGAAACCTTAAGCTGTAGTCTTTAGGGAAAACCTCATCAGGAAGTAAAAAGTTATACGCATGTAATCTATTAGTATTTCTTATAAATAAAATATATATAATTTTGTATCCCAAAAATATCTATTTACCAAACACAGTGAACCAAAGCGGCTTTTTACGGGTAAATAGGTAAAAAAAGATAAATCAGACAAAATATAGCCCATGATACTCTCTGATAATATAACTTTCTACAGCTAACAAAAATTTTAAAATGTAATTATTTATATTAGCAGCTAATTTTAAACTCAAAACCCTTATTCATAAGCGCGGTTCACGACTATGTCACTATATGTATATAGCAATAAATAATTACAATTCAACATGACTCACGATAAAAACTATTCAGCAATTTAAATTTGGTTACTATTTTAAACTTTAGCTATTAGAAATAAAGAAATAGATTTTTTCTTTTCCAATTAATACTAGTTTAAAAGTATAAACTTAAAAATAAATAAGCTAAAGAAAATTACAAAATTTTAAAGAGTTAACAGGTTTAGATCACATGATTACAATCCGGCCTATTTTTTCTGTGCCTTAAGCGCCAATTTGCAAGCCAGCTTAATTTAACCTATTAAAAAAGTTCTAAATGCTCATAATATTTCCCTGTTCTGATTTTCCTGATCAATTTCTTTTTTTTTTCAATAGCTAATGACTTAGACCCATCACTGACCCGAACAAAGCTGTTGCGGGCCGACAATTTGTGGCATGTTAGCTTTCGGTTGTCCAGCAGTGAATGTCTATTTTATTTCTTCTTAACTGGCCCCATGATGAGTGCTAGTTAGTCCATATACGAATATAAACAGACACCCTAAAAATTAAAGTTTTGTATAGAATATTACAAATGTCATAGTGTTTATTTTATAATTAATATGTGTGTGTAAACCTAACGATGGTGTTTACCAGATGCAGACTTTGTACAAAGGTCGTTTGCTTGGACACCTCTGTCCCATTCATGTTTATACCGTGAAGCAGTCGTGTTTGCATAACTGTGTTTTGGTTTGAAGGGTGGGATATGGCAGTGAATTTACAAGGTACAGAGGAAAAACACCTGAATCCTCAGGATTGGCAACGCATAGGGAGTATCATAGGCGAAACAGTATACTCTATTATGTCCATGGTACTGCTCATGTCTATAGGCGACAGTTACCAATTTCCATCAGGTGGGCCGTCAGCTTTTTTTGCTATTCTAAGTTGCATAAAAAAGCTTACTACATGTAAGTTTTTTATGCAAAAAAAACTCTCTCTGTAGCGCTATGAGAGATAGACAAAATTAAAGGATAATTTAAAATTTCTAAAGACATGGCTGGGTATATAGACTTGGCAAAAGGCCGTCATATTAATGAAGAAGCTGTAGTCTATTTTATATTAAGTTTTATGATGTTATTACAAAACCTGATGGTAATTAACTACTACAGACAATAGAGGTATTTAAGACCAGAGCAATAGCGATTTTCTACATTATAACCATAATACAAAGAGGTATAGAAACCATTAATGTGATATTAATGTTTCGAATCCAACTGTTAAATCAAGTTTCACTAATAGAACAT